TTTACCCTTCCCCCCTTAGAAACCCATCAGCCATTGCTAGGTTCCTCGGAACCCAGGTGTTGGGTTTCTTGGAACCCAGAGCTTAGGTTCGTTCGAAGAACCCAGTAGATGGGTTCGAATGAACCTAAGCTCTAGGTTCCAAGAAACCCAATGCCTAGGTTCAACCCAAGCCTCAGTTTGTTCGAAGAACCCAGTAGATGGGTTCAAACGAACCCAGGCTCTGGGTTCCAAGGAACCTAGCGCTAGGTTCGACAAACCCAGGCTCTAGATTCCAAGGAACCCAGCTGGGTTCGCCTGGGTTTGTCACCTGGACCTAGGTTCGTCAAACCCAGCGCTGGGTTCGACGAACCCAGGCAATCCAGGTCCATCGAACCCAGGCATCTGGGCCCGACGAACGGACCCATCGCTTAGGTTCGACAATCCCAAGCTCTGGGTTCTTCAACAAAAAAATAAATAAATAAGTGGTGTTTTTATGGGTGTTGTTTGATGAGAATGATGATGATGATGAATTGATTGATGAAGAAGGAAAGGAAGAGGAAGGAGAAAGGGAACGAGGAACGCCCACTTGGGTTTGAAGGAACCCATGGCGATGGGTTTGATGATCCCAGGCTCTGGGTTCAAGAAATGAAAAGGAAGGAGAAAGAATTTTTTAAATTTTTATTGCCATGTCATTAGCTTTTGACATGTTGTCTTCCACGTGGATTAAAATTTTGACATGTCATCGTTTTATCGTGAATTAACAGTACACGTGAAGAGATTTTTAACGGAAAGATCAAATTGGGGTAAAAATGGTAAACAGTAGGGACCAAATCAGGGATTTTTTTAGTTAAGGGACTTAATTTGGGGTCCGTACAATAGTTGAAGGACCAAAAAAAGGGTTTAACCTTAATTTTATGCAATTTAGATTATATAAAACATTTCTCCATTATGTATTCTATGTATGTATGCCCAAAAGGAAAACAAAATTAAAGTACAATTTGTAATCTCTGAGGGAGAAGACCTCCGAGTAGAGCTTCTGCAAATCAAGCTAGGAGAAATTCTTTCTTTTCCATATAAACTTTATCTTACCCACTACACTCCCACTTCCCTTAAAAAGAAGGGTAATTTGCATTAGAATATAAAAAAGAAAACGTACTATTCACATAGACAACAAGTAATAAAGAGCTTGAATTGAATTCACATTCCATCTTCGTTCTGATCGAATCTTTCTAAGTTCTGGGTTCCTTTTCTTCTCCGATGATCAAGCCAAAGGTCAGTAGAATCGTAGATAAGTAGAAAAAATAAACTCCAACTAAGTTATGACTGGATGTTGTCAAAAGTTCCTGCTTTATGGTAAACGAGTCAATGCTAACCAACGAAGAAAAAGCACTCTCTAATGATTGGGCAAGTGGTTTTATTTTTTTCGCGTGAAAAATAAAGTGAAACATAATATTTAATTATTAGGTTAATTTTTTTGATTAATATTTAAATAAATATTAATTTATTAATCATGTTTTTCACCTTTAGAAAAAAAACCTAACGAAGAAGAGAGAAGATGTCCAGAAGATGTCCTTTTTTTTTTATTTTTTTTTATGTCGAGCAGCAAATGGGCTCAATCAATGGTACAATATATTTGGGCCAGCTTAATTTTGTATTTTGTGACGTCAGGCTGATAACGGGATCAGGCATTAATTAGGATTCTTTGAGGGGTTAGCGCCTTTGGATTTGTGAAGAGTCGAAGGTTTATTTTGTTTTATTATTGTAATTATTAATTGATATTTATTATTTAATAATTTAAATTTTATATATAAATTGATGTTTTTAAATATCACTACTAACTATTTAAGGGAAAAAAAAGGCTATAAGGTGATAAGCAAAACCAAACACACCCTTAAAATGGGTGGTTGCCCATCCACGGAAGGATGGCTTGCCGCTACAACTAGGGGACTACTACTGCTAGGATGCAATCGAGGTCAAGCAATGTTGATACTTCACCACGAATTGATCTCGGCTAATTTTAAGCCTAATATACCATCTGATATTTGGTTTTAATAGTTTTGGAACATTGATTTCCAAACGAAATATTCAACAAAAAAAAAACATTAACATGGCACTTCTTAGTTCTTACATATTAGTAATGCTACATACCAAATGCGTAAAAAAGGTTTCTTTAGAGATTGAACAAATTTTTCATTTTTAGCCATTCCGTACCAACCATCTTCTCCTCCTCTTCAGCAGTCTTCATCGTTGCTTCATACTCTGGCCATTGCTTTTCTAACACATCAAGTTCAGCTTTCAAGTCCTTGGAAAGTTCAAACATTTCTTTCTGTTTGGATGAGAAATTGGCTTTCTTCTTTTCTGCGTCGCCAACTTCGGCATAGAGGAAGTTAACTCGCTCCCAGAGAGTGGCAATGTTCCGTTCCTGCTGTTCGGTTTCTTCCTTAGCCTTTTTAAACTCAGTTAGACACCTCTCTAGTTTGCAACCAAGCGTCCTCTTAACATATTCCTTGTGTGTAAACAGATTCTTATCCTTAGCTGCTTTTGCTGCTCTCTCAGGCAGGTCAACAAACTTTTCCTTCGTGGTTAGTAATTCTTCCTTTTGCTCAGCTGTAAGTACAGAACAATCATCAAAAGAAGATAAAACATCAAAAGCAGTTTTTATTTTAGAATTTCTCCCTGGATCATTTGAGTGAGCTGGATCCATGTTCAAGGTGTTCCTTATCACTGTCAGAGCTTCTTCCAGAACATGTTTTGAAGAAAGATTGTTACTGCTAGAAATCTCAGACTCCAAATCCAAAAAGAATGCACCAATGTCTTCTTCAGTCGAGCTTTTGGTAGCAATTTTACATCCGGTGGTAGCTATCTGATTACTGGTCTCTTTACTTGAGCCTTGCGTCCCATCGCTGAATATGGTAACATCAGCCTTAATTATGCATGTGTCTTCCACCAAATAACCCTTTCCAAGATCATGCAATTCTTCAAGGGGAATGAATTTAGTGAACCCCCAGTCATCTTTATCTGCATTAAAGTTATGCTGTGTAGCTGCAGAGAAAGCAATCGGTACATTTAGAAAATGTTTGTACGTAAAAGATTGACAGGAGTTCTTTAAGACTTGGAACAAATAAGGATTTGGAAAATATTCCATTGTTCTTATTTATCTGTCCATATAACCAACTCTACATATAATTGTAAGAGATACCAGCATATGAATGATAATATATATATATATATATATATTTTTTCAGCAGGTAGTATTTATTGAGTTGTTTCGTTTGATATAAATAATTAATTATCATTTATATATTATACAAAAGTATTATTTAAAATTAGATGCACAAGAATTAGAGCAAATACATAAATAAAAACGGGATAGTAGTTAATAGTGGCAGCTTAACTATAAATATAGCCTCTAAGGCTATTTCATCTACTAAGAACTTGACATAATAAGGATAAAAGTAAAAAATTGCTAAGAGTAGCGACTAGCGGTAGTATAGCTACAACTAGCCCTTAGGGCTATTTAGACAAATACAAACTTGAAATAATTTCAAGTGTAGATTTCATGTTAAAATCGTGTGATGGTAGAGAAGGAATTTGAAAAAATCTTCATCACATGTAAAAGAAACGGTGTACGTAGCTGTAAATATATACCTCCTTTAACTGATGATCTTTTATCAATTTGGTTCGAGACAGTCAGGGAGAATTTTGCATTTCGACTCCAACCCAAGGGCAAAATCCCCGAATCTGCAACTCCCAGATAAATTGACAAATGATCTTCATTTTTGTTGCCCTTGGGGAACATAAGTATCCGCCTATAGAAAAGATATCAGTTTAATGCAAAGACATGAATGATCTATATGTATGAATGTCCAAAAAAAATGAAAACAAATTAGAGAATTACCATTTGTAATCTCCAACGGAGAAGACGTCTGAATAGAGCTTGTGTGAATCAAGCTTCAAGAAATTCTCTATTTTCCATACAAACTTAATCGCACCCACTGCACTATCCCACCCCACATGCATAAAAGGCATAATTTGCATTAGATATCGATATTTATTTCTAGTAATGCTTCACTTTCTTTAAGAATTTTGAAATTAAACAAAAATTAAAACCCTCATCCAATAATCATTCTTTGAAAAGAAAACACCTTAGACAAAAACAACAAACAAATGGCTTGAATTGAATTCACCTTCCATGGCCCGATTGACACGTTCCAGCGGAAAAATTTTCACTTGTGGGTTTCTTTTCTTCTCTCGTGTGAAAGATCAGTAGATAAGTTGAGAATATATAGGAAAGAAAAAGCTCCTTTCCTTTTCCGAAAAAGCAATAGCTGGGCCCTGCCTCGGAAGTTGTTGAAAGTTCTTACTACCTCATGGCAAAGGAGTCAAGCGGTCAAAACTTGGTTGCAAAGGAATACGGGGAAAAGAGGAAGTAGCGCATTATTAAGTGTATAAGTGTTAGTGGAAAAATCTACATATTTTGATGATGTTTCACCTTTTTCATGGAATATCAATAGTGATTAAGTCTATCATGTAACTCTTCTCTTTGTAGTTTAGTGAGTAAATAAAATTTTGTAACTTATCAACTAGGGTTGTTTAGTTGGCAAAAACTTTCGTTTATAAACTTCTTTAAATTTTTCTTTTTATAAAGATATTTAGGTATTTTTATACATTAATATTATAATGAAAAGAGGATAAAAATAGTATTTTAACCTTTGTTTTCCTTAACAAAATTCCCAACCCATAAGTTTATTTTCTCATACTTTTCAAAGGAAAAAAGTTTCCTTTTAATTTTTCTTAGATAGAACTCACTTGATAACTTTATTACTAAATCCTATATTAATTTCTTACCAAATACCAAAAACTTAATAACTCAATAAAATTCAAATTAAACTTCACTACAAAAACTTTTTAACTTTTCCTACAATATTTTGTTAACTACTTTCTTAATAAAAACTTTCCTAATAAAATTAGCTTTTTAGCCAAACAAACCCTTAGTATGTGATTACTCTTCGTAACTTCTATTACTT